GGAAGATTTTGAAGTTTTGAATCAATAAAGTAGAGTTTGTTAAATTTATTATTTACAAATTTTAACGGGAAAAAATGTTGAGTTGTGCTGGAAATACGTTACAGCAGCTTTATATAGAAATAATTTATTTCAGTCAACTATAAAACGTTGAATTTTATATATGCCAAGACCTCATGCGACATCTCTGCTATTATTATGTTCGTCCCAATGCGTTTCGAAGGCAGAACTAAAAATACTTTGCGAAATATTTATGTAGAAATGCCACAAATGGTAAAAAAAACTTTCCATTTCAACATAATTGATGAAAGCATCTTATTGATTTGATAACATGGACTGACGTTCAAACCTACCTTTAATAAACATCTAAAAGGGGACAAAGAATGGATGAATACGTGTCACCAGCGACATTTTAATATCTAATATCAAACCGCTTTTATTAAAAATAAATTAACTGCAAACGACGGAAACAATATGAATAAATTTCGTAAAACATTTGACAGGTATTGTCAACGTTTTGGATTGTTATGGAGTTTCAAGAAGAACAATTGGATTTTTGGAAATGCAACTTGTGTTAAATTGACTCTTTTTATATACAGGAAACAACAAGAATCGAGCATTTTTTGCTTAAACTGTTTACTTTTTACTGCAAAGTTCTAAAAAATGCAATTGCTGTTTAAGAATATAATTTTTGGTGAACAACTATGAAAACTTGTTTTGACAAGTAATATAATTAAAAAGTTATATGAATTAGGTTGTGAAAAAAAATCTGGAAACAAGTAATTTAACCAAAAATCGCTTTTCCAGACTTTATTTTTCAGTGTTCATACACCACGTCACCTCTAGATAACAAAACTAAAAAAATGTGTCTGAAAGCTAGTTTTTCCAAAGTCCGAAAGTAACATTTTATGAAACAGTCGAGTTTTGTAAAATTTTACTTGTAAAATATTAGTTAAGTTGACTCGTTTTGATATACAGAGTAAATAAAAAAGCATGGATATTATGAAAGAATTAATTAATAAACAATAAAGTGGAAATTTTTAGATTTTTTGGTTCTACAATTTTATTTAATGTAAACACTGAAAACTTAAATTTATGACAGATTTTTGTAATAAACAGAGTGTACAGAACTCAAAAACACAAATATTTTTTTCAGGAGTGATCTTTATCTGAAAGCAAACAAGTTACTGAAAAACGCTTGCTAGTTTCATGTGTCAGAATTTTTTTTTCTGTGTTTTTGTGCAAATGCATTTTGCGTCTAGATAAGAAAGCTGATTTTTTTTCTAGTGATTTATATTCAAAACATCAAAATTTTATTTTTAGTGTTTGTACGAAAATCGATTTTGCCTCTAAACAACGAAGCTAATTTTTTTTTCAAAAATGATTGTTTTCTGAAAGCAAACAGTGTAACTGAAAAAATGCATGCCAGGTTTGTTTGAGCGCTTAATTTAGTTATTAAAATACTGGCTTTAAAGCTCATTTTTTTTCAGAAGTGATTTATATCTAAAAGCAAACAATTTAATTAAAAATCGCTTGCCAGGTTCATGTATCAAGATTTTCTTTATTCTGTGTTTACAAAAATCCATTTCGCTTCTAGATAAGAATGCTGCATTTTTTTCAGAAATGAAACGCTTTATGTGTCAAAATTTTGTTTTTATATACAGAGTAAATAGAAAAACATGGACTTTATGAGAAAATTAATTAATCAACGATAAAGTACTATAAAAATGCAAATGCTGTTTAAGAATGAAATTGTTGGTTTTTTTTGGTTCTACAAAGTTTATTTTTTTTTTAAGTGATAAGCATTGAAAATTTAAATTTTTGACAGAGTGTACAGAACTCAAAGACAAACATTTTTTTCAGGAGTGATCTTTATCTGAAAACAAACAATTTACTGAAATACCCTTGCTAGTTTTATGTGTCAGAATGTTGTTTTTTCTGTGTGTTTAGCCAAATACATTTCGCTTCTAGACAAAAAGATTTTCTTTTCAGAAATGCTTTATGTCTGAAAGCAAACAGTTTAACAGAAATACGCTCCAAATGTCAAAATTTAATTTTTTCTTTGTTTATACGAAAATCCATTTCGTCTCTAGATAAGAAAGCTAATTTTTTTTCTGAAAACAGTTTAACTGAAAAACGTTTCATGTGTTAAAATTTTGTTCCGATATACAGAGTAAATAAAAAGGTATGTTTTTTTTATAAAAGAATTAATAATTAATCTAATAAAGTACTACAAAAAGGACAATGCTGTTTAGGAATTAAATTTTAGTGTTTTTTTTTTTGGTTTTAAGTTCTACAAGATTTATTAATTTTTTAAATGGTAAACACTAAAAATTTTTGGCACACCGTGTACAAAACTCAAGAAACTCAACTCAAGAAATGATTTTTTCTGAAAGGAAACAGTTTATCTGAAAAACACCTATTAGTTTATTGTTTCAGAATTTTATTTTTTCTGTGTTTTTACGCAAATATTTTGCTACTAGATAAAAAAACTGATTTTTTTTTCCAGAAATTGCTTTTGGTGAAAGCACAGTTTAATTGAAAAACGCTTGCCAGCTTTATGTATCAAAATTTTATTTTTTCTGTGTATGTACGTAAATTTATTTCGTTTCTAGAAAAGTAAACTGATTTCTTTTCACAAATGATCTTTTTCTGAAAGCAAATAGCTTAACTGAAAAACGTTTACTAATTTAATGATTCAGAATTTTCTTTTGTCTGTTGTTTGTACGCAAATACATTTCCCTTCGAGATAAGAAAGCTGATTTTTTTCCAGAAATGATTTTTTTTCTGAAGCAGTTTAACTGAAAAACGCCTACTAGTTTATTGTTTCAGAATTTTGTCTTTTCTGTGTTTTTACGCAAATATTTTGTTTCTAGATAAGAAAGCTGATTTTTTTTTAAACGACTTTTTCTGAGAGCACAGTTTAACCGAAAAACCCTTGCCAGCTTCATGCGTCAAAATTTTTTTTTGTGTATGTACGTAAATTCATTCGTTTCTAGAAAAGTAAACTGATTTTTTTTCTGAAACCAAACAGTTTAACTGGAAAACGCTTACTAGTTTAATGTTTCAGAATTTAGTTTTTTCTGTTGTTTTTATGCAAATACATTTGGCTTCTAGATAAAAAACTGAATTTTTTTCAGAAATGTTTTTTTTCTGAAAGGGGAAACAGTTTAACTGAAAAACGCCTAATTAGTTTATTGTTTCAGAATTTCATTTTTTCTGTGTTTTTACGCACAGCTTAACTGAAAAACGTTTACTAATTTAATGATTCAGAATTTTGTTTTGTCTGTTGTTTTTACGCAAATACATTTCGCTTCTAGATAAGAAAGTTGATTTTTTTCCAGAAATGATTTTTTTTCTGAAAGGAAACAGTTTAACTGAAAAACGCCTACTAGTTTATTGTTTCAGAATTTTGTCTTTTCTGTGTTTTTATGCAAATACATTTGGCTTCTAGATAAAAAACTGAATTTTTTTCAGAAATGTTTTTTTTCTGAAAGGGGAAACAGTTTAACTGAAAAACGCCTAATTAGTTTATTGTTTCAGAATTTCATTTTTTCTGTGTTTTTACGCACAGCTTAACTGAAAAACGTTTACTAATTTAATGATTCAGAATTTTGTTTTGTCTGTTGTTTTTACGCAAATACATTTCGCTTCTAGATAAAAAAAACTGAATTTTTTTCAGAAATGTTTTTTTTCTGAAAGGGGAAACAGTTTAACTGAAAAACGCCTAATTAGTTTATTGTTTCAGAATTTCATTTTTTCTGTGTTTTTTACGCACAGCTTAACTGAAAAACGTTTACTAATTTAATGATTCAGAATTTTGTTTTGTCTGTTGTTTTTACGCAAATACATTTCGCTTCTAGATAAGAAAGTTGATTTTTTTCCAGAAATGATTTTTTTTCTGAAAGGAAACAGTTTAACTGAAAAACGCCTATTAGTTTATTGTTTCAGAATTTTATTTTTTCTATGTTTTTACGCAAATATTTTTCTTCTAGATAAAAAAACTGATTTTTTTTTCAGAAATGATTTTTTTTCTGTAAGGAAACAGTTTAACTGAAAAACGCCTACTAGTTTATTGTTTCAGAATTTTGTCTTTTTATTGTGTTTTTACGCAAATATTTTGTTTCTAGATAAGAAAACTGATTTTTTTTTAAATGATTTTTTCTGAGGGCACAGTTTAACTGAAAAACGCTTGCCAGCTTCATGCGTCAATTTTTTTTTTGTGTATGTATGTAAATTCATTCGTTTCTAGAAAAGTAAACTGATTTTTTTTCAGGAATGATTTTTTTTCTGAATCCAAACAGTTTAGCTGGAAAACCCTTACTAGTTTAATGTTTCAGAATTTAGTTTTTTCTGTTGTTTTTATGCAAATACATTTGGCTTCTAGATAAAAAAAAACTGAATTTTTTTCAGAAATGATTTTTTTCTGAAAAGAAACAAATTAACTGAAAAACGCCTATTAGTTTATTGTTTTAGAATTTTATTTTTTCTGTGTTTTTACGCAAATATTTTGGTTCTAGATAAAAAAGCTGATTTTTTTAGAAGTGACTTTTCTGACAGCACAGTCACAGAAAAACGCTTACTAGATTCATGTGTCAAATTTATTTTTTTCTGTGTTTGTCGCAAATTCATTGCTTGTAGATAAGAAAGCCGAAGAAAAGTGTACGAGAGCCGAGTAAATAAAAGTCCGAACGCTTGTAAAATTTTATGGAAACAGTCGGGTTTTGTGTGTCATTAAGGCGTTTTTGTTCGCAGCATTACCGGAAGAGGGCCCTCGAATATCAGGTGGCCGTCCCCGCTATCAAGTCGGTGATACAGTTCGAGTGAATTGCACGTCGGGTCGGTCGAAACCCGCCGCCAATTTGAAATGGATGATCAACGGCGAGCCAGCAGATCCGAAATTCCTCATTCCTCACAATAAGATCATCACTGGTCGAGAAGGACTCGAGACTACGGTTCTAGGACTGCAGTTTGTCGTGCGTCATAAGCACTTCAAACGGGGAGATATGAAGCTCAAATGCGTCGCTTCGATCGAAAGCGTTTATTCGCGGAGTAACGAAGAGAGTGTTGAAGGAGAACGGCCTCAAAGGGCCTCGGTTTTGGAAAGTCGGGGCACGGTGGCGCCCGCGGGGTCCAGGGCCGACAGGGTGCAAGGTATGTTACCCTTTTTTCACTTTCCCCAAGCTCACATTGGGTAAACGTCTCTTCATTTAGAGAATGCAAGTTTAACTTACCCAACAGAATACACTAATTTGATGTTAAAGGTTACTATGGCTCCGGGAGGTAATCTTACTTACACTCCCTGGAGCAAATTACTAATTCCTCAAGTTTACTAAAAGCTCATTAATCAGATTAGGGTTTTTAGCACTTTGCTAATCCGTTATTTGATAAGCAACGTAAAATTTCTGTTTCAAATTAATCAATTTTTTATGCTTAGTTTTTTTAGCTTTAATACTAGTAGTTACAAATAATTGAGAAATGAACGAGTTTCCACAAATGACTTATGAAACAAGTTTTTTATGCATAAAAGTCGATTTTTCAAAATTTTGCCCTAATAAGGTGGTGCTTGGTAATAATTAATAAACGTCACAAAGTTTCAAAAATTCGATATTCGATGTGTCCAAGTATCGAGTATTTTTCAAAATTTTGTTGAATTAACAATGGAACTGCAAATATTTCATGCACACTACCTGAAATAAGAGAAATCACTCAAAACGCCACTGAAAATTTACTAAATTGTACTAGTCTATTTCAGCACACGATTTGGTGTTGAAATGGCTCATTTAAGCATCGTATCGAAATAAGCTTTCTTTCAGACGCAAAATAGCAAATTTTTTTTATAAACGCTATTTCGAAAGTAAGTAGAACTGTCGGCAACATTGTGCAAAAAATTTTGTCGAAAATGAGGGTTATATTAGAAAAAATATTATAAAAATTACAATTTTCGTTTTAAATATAGATCCTTCTACGACAGCTAATTTTAAATACGCTGCAATTTTATTTCAAGCTTTTCATATTTTAAAAATGTTTGCTGCAGACATCTTGAACCCTCCTCTAGAAGTTACTTCTCTAACGTAAACAATACCCTTTTGTGTTTTAGTTTAAATTGTCACTGACTTTTGACTTTTTAGTAACAAAAGAACGAAAATAAGCGCTAAAATAAGCACATTTAAGCAAAATGTGCATAAAAAGCACAAAAACTAAAAATATGTCTTAAAATATACTCATAATTTTCTTTCAAGAAAACTTCAATGCTGTAAAAAACTTAAAAATAATCCATACATTGCAAAACGTAAACAACCGATTTTTTGCCTTTATTTGTAATTTTCAAGCTAGCTTAGTACTCTAACTAAAAAGAATTCTAACTTCTTTAATCGTTGTTTAATCGTTTTTAATGTTTCTGTAAATCATTCTAAATTCCAAAAAGAATTTTATGTAACGTAAATTTAGAAAAATTCCAGTAATTTTATTAATTACAGAAAATTTCCACCGAAATTCCAGTTTTCAGGTTAATTTCTATAATTCCAAATTAATTTTTTTAATTGCAACTTAATTTTCATAATTCCAAATTAACTCCAACAGTTTTAAGAAATCCAACGTAATTTTCAAAAGTACTTGTTTCCGATAATTTCAAAAAGAATTTTATGTAATGTAGTTTAGAAAAATTTCAGTAATAGTATTAATTTCAAAAAATTTCCACCAAAATTACAGTTTCTAGGTTAATTTCTATAATTTCAAATTAATTTCTTTAATTCCAACTTAATTTTTCTAATTCCAAATTAATTCCGACAGTTCTAAGAAAT